ATAAATTTGCCATTTGCAAGAGAAAAACACTTACAGAAACCCAGTCTATAGTAAAATCAACGTATTTTCCCTCTAGTTCTTGCATGAAAGTCTTCCTATGTGGCACAAGGAACGGATGAATGAAATATTTCAGGTCATATGCTCCAAATCACAAATTCAGTTAGCATCTACTGCAATAGCATCAATGAGGAAGGAGGATGGGTAGCACTGCCAATGGAAGCTTGGAGAACTACTATTTGCCAGATTAACATATGCATATTACAATATTTTTTTAATAACTTTATAAAGATTATAAATCTGTGATATTTTTGCTGGTTGGATGAGAACTGCTGATGACTGGATACCAAATAATCAGCAGCTTAATGCACATAGAAAAGTCCATTTACAATCATAGGTAAAGTAAGTTTTATTACAAATCAATAGGGTTAAAATCAGAATAGTCCATCATTATTCAGTGAATATCTCCCATATCAAATTTGAAGGAAATCTGTCCATTGGTTTAGGTCCCAATCCTTGGTCACAGACAGATGGATCGATATGATCTCCACATAAGGCATTCTCTTTTACTTTGCAAATAAAGCCTAAAATGTACTGTGCCCACTTTTATGCAAAATGATTGTGGATCTAAGCACATCAGGCCGCTGCCTCACGCAACATCCATTTCAGTGTATGATACAGAGCAGCCACTGAAATATTTTTACACCATTAATACCAGGGTAATAGTACAACAATCCAAAGTGACTTCAGTTTTTCACAGCTCTAAATGGGTTGACGTCAGAGGCCACACTTGATAACACCAGCTAATATCTGGATATTGTATATGAATGAAGACTCTGTTAAGTGTCTTTAGGGAACAATTTTGAAAATCATATATTAGTTTTATCTGTCTGTACCCATGCAACAGCATCCAAACTATAATACCAGTTTAAATGAAAATTAATGTGGTAGACCTACAATTCATTTTCGCAATTTTTTTCAATTTTATTTTAAGCATTTTAAGGATGAACTTAAATTAACTTTTCATTTGCATCACTTGAGTTCTTCAACAGATGTTGATGAATCTGGATGTATTGATTAGGATTATTACCATGTGAAAGTTTCACTAACTTTAATCTATTTTAAGGTCACCCTACTTAAAGGTTGTAACCACTATTTTGGCATATCCCATGAAATGTGTATCTAAAAGAAAAATGAGTCTGTACAATACATATATCTTACACAGTTTAGGAATACTTCACCAGATGTGATTTTAATAATGATTTCAAGTATCTATGTCTTTGGCTGTGCCATAGCTCAAGTGGTTAGTTGCTGCTTTCCCACAGCTGCAGCCCGGGTTCAATCCTGGGTCTAGTCAAGTGGGATTTGTGGTGGACAAAGTGATTCTGGGGCAGGTTTTCTCTGAGTACTTCTGTTTTCCTGCCAATCTTCATTCCACCAATTGCTCCACAATCACCTTCACCTATCATCTGGGGCTGGTACAATAGGCCAGAAGTGGCTGCAGTACAAAGGACTTAGTCCCACCCCACTAGCAATAAAAAAAATATATAACTTTCAATTTGGGCCCAGTTCCACCTGCAAAATATGATTCTATGCATTTCTGGTTTACTGATGAAATATAAGAAAGCTTTTCCAAATTTACAAGTGCTTGAAGTGGGAAACGGTAGGGAATTGTATACAAAACATGGCTTGCATTTGAATGTAAAAGGTAAAGAGGTCATGGCAGATAAAATGGTGGAAGTGATAAGAGATATCTTAAATGTGATTAAAGTAGTTCCAATTGAGATGAAATGGAAAGAAGAAGAGTGCAGTGGAGCTATTAACTTAGGTAAAACAGCGAAGGTGATGAATGTATCGAATGTGGAAGCAATCAAAAATAATGGGCAAGCAAATAAGGACCAAGGAAGGGTTAATGTGATGGGGGACAAGCAGATAGAGCTTCAGACAAAACGACCCCGCAAAGCACCAATAAAAAGAAGCGCAGATTTTTTATGGACAGAACTAAACAAACCATAACTAACCAAAAAGGTGAAAGTGGAGTTTGGTCGAACCTAAAGGAACAAAGCATTGTAATTTTACATCATAATGTGCAAAGTTTATTAAATAAGCAAATAGAATTATCAGTTCATTTAAGTACTAGTCTAAAAAATGTAGACGTCCTGTGTTTTACTGAACATTGGTTAACAGAAGACCAATTAGATATGACAGTGATAAATAAATTCAAATTGGTTAGCAAATTCTGTAGGAAGGACAGAAAAAACGGAGGATCCTGTATATTTGTAAACAAAGAGTTGAAGACTAGAGAAATCACTTTTCTTAATGATCTGTGTTATGAAAATCATTTTGAGATATCTGTAGTTGAAATTGTAGAATACAAGTGGTTATTGGTTTGTATATATAGATCTCCTCATAGTGATGTGTATATGTTTTTGGACAAACTTGAAACACTTATTGACAGAGTTTATAAAAAAAAGAAAAAACTTATAATTTGTGGAGATTGGAATATAAATTTACTCCAGGAGAATGAACAAGTTAGAAGGCTTGGAAATATTTTGGCATCCTATGATCTAATAAATACAGTTACTATTCCAACAAGAGTTACAAGTAGTTCGGAATCCTTAATAGATTTAATAGTTATTAATAGACAGTTTAATGAGAATGATACAAAGGTTGTAGATTTGGGTTTTTTAGACCATTTGGCTCAGATTCTAAAGGTGTATGTAGACTTACGTAAGGTTGATTTAAAAAAGGTCTTGCAAAGAAAATACTCTAAAGAGAATGTAGATAAGTTCATAGATATCTTAAATAATGAATCATGGGAGGAAATTTATATGGAGAAGAATGTAAATGAACTTTATAAATAAGTTTTTATATCATTTTAATAGAGTATTTTCAGTGAAACTAATAATGAAGAAAAACAACAAGAATAATGCATGGATATCCAGAGGAATAAAGGTTTCCTGTCAAAAAATGCGGTTTTTAAATAAATTGAAACAAAGGATGTCACTTTCAAGGAATGCGCTGGGGTATATTAATAGATATCATAAAATTTATAAACGAGTTATTTCAGAAGCTAAAAAAAGACATAATGACAGACAGATAGTAAATGCTGCTAACCCAAATAAAGTGATGTGGCAAATTATTAATAAAAAAATGGGAAAATCAGGGAAAACTAATCAGGATATTTGGTTACAAATTAATTCAAAGATGGTATATCACCCGCAGAAGGTGGCAGATACTTTGAATTCATATTTTATTGACAAGGTAGAAGAACTAATGGAAAAGAATAGGAGTAAAGGTAGTGGAAGATCAGTAAAAAAAGTTGTAGTAGACAATTCAGAGTCTATGTATTTTTTTCCAACTTCTGAAGAAGAAATAGTCTCAATAACATCTAAATTAAAAGGAAAGCCTCTTCAGGAGTAGATGAAGTCCCAGATTTTTTAGTAAAAGCATGCATTACATGTATAAAAAACCTCTTAGGTTTATATTTAATGAATCTATAAATCAAGGGGTATTTCCTGATTTTTTGAAAATAGCTAAAATTAGACCGGTCTTTAAGAAGGGTAATAGACAAGAAATTAGTAACTATAGACCTATATCGGTTATATCAATATTCTCTAAAATCTTAGAAAAAATAGTGTATAATAGACTGGTATCTTTTATTAGTAAATTTAAGATTTTAACGGTAAATCAGTATGGGTTTCAAAAAAATAAGTCGACTATTTCGGCATGTCAGAAATTTATTGGTAACATACAGGAAGCTCTGGATAGGCGGTTAACTGCAGTTGGTATATTTTTCGATCTTTCAAAAGCGTATGATATTATAGATCATGATATTCTGCTAGAAAAACTTGATCATTATGGAATAAGAGGAAAAATTAATGATTGGTTAAAATCCTATCTGAAAATGCGTTCTCAGTATGTTGAAATAACATCTAATGATAATAGGTACTCGAGAAATCGGTTTAGCTCGATAAGGAGGAATATAAAATTTGGAATACCGCAAGGGTCTACATTGGGCCCGCTTTTGTTTCTTTTATACATAAATGATTTACCCCAACATATAACAAATGGGGAGGTTGTTCTCTTTGCAGACGATACAAATATATTGGTTATTGATAAAGATAAAAGCATCCTTCAAGATAAAATAAAGAGAATTATGATCCAACTGGAATCTTGGTTTTCAAAAAACAATATGATTATAAATAATGATAAGACTAAAGCTATGTTATTCCAGTTAAAGAAACCGCATGACATCTCAGGGCCAGATATTATTTTTAATAATATAAAAATTAAGTATACATCTCACTTTAGATTTTTAGGTATTAATATAACTCAAAATCTCAAATGGAGTGTACATATTCAGTCCTTGTGTTCAAAATTGAATAAGGTATGTTATATTATTAAATCTTTGAAAGATGAGGTAAGTTTACATATACTCAGGAATATATACTTTGCCAAATTTCAATCGTTGGTAAGTTATGGGTTGATTTTTTGGGGAGGAGAAAATGAAAGTATTAAAGTCTTTAAAATACAAAAAAAGGATGCTTCGTTTCATGAAAGGTGTAAATAACAGAGTGTCAGGCAGACCTTTATTTAAAGAATTGAAGATTTTAACTATTACGTCCTTGTACATCATAGAGGTGTTGTGTTATTTTAAGAGATATAATATATACACCATGAGAAATACTGATTTATATAATACTAGGAGGAAAGATGATCTTCATGTACAACAATGTAATACAACAGTTTTTAAGAAAAGTGTTATTAATGTGGGCATTAAATTATATAATACACTTCCCTTGGAAGTTAAAAAGTCAAAGGGATGTAATTAATTTAAACATAAATTAAAATTATTTTTGTTTGATCGTCCTTTCTATACATTGAATGAGTTTCTTCAACAGGGACATGAGGAAGCATAGCAAGGTTTTTTTAATTAACAAAAAAAGAGAAGAAAAGGGAATTGTAGTAGTTATTGTTATATTTTTAAAATTCTTAGTGATGTTGTAAGGCAAGTACAGTTTTATTTTTAGTCTAATACATTCTAGGATTATAGAGCTTTTAACAATGATGTATTTAGTGAGTTGACTTGTTCAAGTGTTGCAGTTGTAACAGTATGGATGCAAATAAATATGAATATGAATCTGCATATATACAGAAAGAAGTGGCGGCTTCTGCAGTAAGAGATTCACATTTGCAGGAGACAGGGCTGTAACAGTATCTGAATCCAATTTTCTAGCTTCCAGATTACCATGATAGTGTTTCTTTTCATGACACATTCTTAAATTTTATGTTCAGTTCACTTTGAAACATGTTATTAAGCATGTATCATGTCTGGTGAAGATGAGGAAAGTTATTTATAATTCCCATAAAGGGCTAAAATTAATATTGGGCCTGCCACAGAAATTTCTGGTAAATTATATAAGTGAATAAACTGAAAATGAAGGCAGAGTAGAAGCTTCACGTCAATGAAACCATTTACATTTTCAATTCACACTTGTGAAGATATAAAATAAATTATTCATAAATTATATTCTGGGCACTCCTAAAAATATTAAATTCTTGTCACTGAATTATCAAACCGTAACACGTCATCAAAAGCAATTCATGGTCTACTAAAACTGCAGTGGGTATGCAGAGATGCCCATCCAATCTTATAGGTTAAAATATGGAGAAGAACAACATATTAGTACTTAACAATGCCTACAAAAAGAGTGAGGTACAAGTGCTTACTGACCATGTTGTGAGATTGCATGGAGGAAAATTCAACATATTTTAAATCTAGGCACTGGATGAGGTGTCATCTTTATGGTCTAGATGGTATACTCTTTGAGTATGAGCCCTGGTGCTCAATACAAGGAGGCCTGAAGAGTACCAGATCCATTCTAAACAAGGTCATGAAGAGAAAACCCCCAGCCCCTATGAGGTATAAAACCCTGACTGTCCAACTGATAGCCAGACACTTTAGTGACTGGGCTATAATGGGAATTGTTCTATAACAGATACTGTTAGAAAGAGAAATAGAAATAAAAAATAAAGTAAAGTAATATTTAAAGAAAAGAAATTGAATTTAAGAACACACTCATGATCCTTTGCTGATGCAATAAATCAGTTTATAGAGAAATGAAATGGGTACTACTAGACATGCTAAATATATCAAAGATATTAAACAAGGAATGAGATAGGAAACGAAAGTTTTTAACTTAATTCCAATATATGGAGTACCTACGTTGATAATTATGATAACATGAAGTTCACTCTGTAATGGGACACACAGTGTCACTATAAACAAAAAGGAAGACTGTAAAAGAGTCTCTATTTCAATGTCAAATTGATCCAAAAATATCTTCACAATTGTCAGAAAGAACACAGTTATTTCCTTACACTGGTTTCAACCACTAATTTTTACGTCTTGTTTAAAGTCTGTTAGTACTTTAAATAAATATGTTAACTGAAATTTATCATATACAAAATATATGGAGGAATGACTTATTTGGGGATACTGGTCACAAATAATAAATACAAAATCTGCAGACCACTTCTACAGACTACTGGCTCTTGTTTTGTAAGTACTTGCCTGAATGCATGGCATTATTAATGCAAAATGTTAAAACCACTTTCAGAACCAAATGATTCAGACTACTTGAAACACAAGTATAGTTAAAGGCTTCTCATTTTGATATATCATAATATCATAATGTTCATGGTCTGTTCTCAACATCTGTGTCTTATACATGTTCGATTACAGCACGTACATGGCACACAAAATTAAACTGTAGTGATGACCACACAAATAACACCTACAAAATTATGTCCATCAGGAGTCTGCAATATCTGTATTTGTCTTAGGATTATATGTAATAAAGAGACACTACCAATTTTATCACACTTTAAGGCATTAAGGGTATGTAAGCATAGATAATATTAGAATATTTAGGTTTCTGAAAATGATGATGAATCCTAAATGGGAAAAAAAAGGCTTAATATTGTCTATAGGCCTACATCTGACAGTGGATAAACTAGTCTACAATATCAATGGCATAAAATGATCACTCTTCATTCCCTGCACAGCAGAAAAAAAAAATTATTTTAGTATCATCAGTAAAACCTGACAAGATACTCTTGTGGACGAACAATTACCAGGACAATATGGCTGTATTAAAGTGAGATATAGACGTTACATCTGCAGCTCCAAAGGCTTAATGTCTTGTGAAAATATGTCTGTTATGGAAATGGCACAAAATGAAAATTGCTAATTGTACTTAATGTCATACTATGGAGGGTTGCAAACAATTACACTCCATCTGTAAAGAGGTAAATCAGACAATGAATGTTAACGTATCTCATATTTGGACACTCAGCGCAAAAGCAACTGTTTCAAAACCCATGATGATAAATTTCTTCTATGATACAGAGCTCTGAATCCCAGATAGTTCAGGTATCTTTTGACATCAAGGGCATGAAAGCAAGTTCAGTTACACACTGAAATAAAATGAATACTGGGAAAGTCAGTACTGATATACTTCAACATATATTTATACATTTAAATTGACACTATAACACACACAATTTGCTACCATCAGCTCTATTTCATAGCAAAGTATGGTAGAAAAGGTATTTTGATTCTGTGATTAGAAACTATCTGTGTACATAAAATGATAACACACTTTGTCCATTAAAAGAGGAAAGTTGATTTTTTCAAGTTTATTGACATTACTCAATTTTGTGCTAAGGTAAAATATACTGGTAACTATAAAAAAATTAAGCATTTATTTTACTTTTTTATAGCACAGGAAGTACCTAAAGGTTGAAAGCATAAAGTATTATGTTGCTGTTACTGATGTGAAATTTTCTGAAGGTTTATGAGTATCTGTACTGCTTTTCCCATTAGCTGAAAATTATATTGGTGGATCCATATCTTTCAAAACTAACTTACGCTCAGTATCAAATAACTTGTATAATTAATGCAATATAAAATGTTCACATTCTTTTTCTGTGTCAAATTTCTGCATTTGCCAAATCTTCATTTGTCTATGCCCTGCATAATTCACACTGAGCAGCACACTGCACATATTTGATCTATTTGATGAACACACTCTTCTACATTGGTATCCATCAGCCTGGCAAGTTGGTTCAGGATACTGAACTAGCAATGTAATCAACTTGACATCACTATGTTAAGGCAAATAGAAGATCTGACTTCAAATGTCATTGATATTTCTGATGTACCATGAATGCCATGTGAGACTGGTAATATGATGCATGACATTGCAGTCGATTTGTTCTTCCATAAGTTTCTGTAAGACCAGCCTAAGAAATTATGGAAAACTTTTGGTATCTGAATATTTAGAATTGCCCTTGCTGGACACAACTGGTGTGTATTGAATGACATACAGCCACATTGTGGAAGTTTTTTTGTGACTATGTGGTATAGCATAATCTTCAACTGGCTGATGGTGATTGCTATTCTTCTGTAGTTACAGCTCCATCACTTTGCTCCTGCTGCTGCTGTGCTCTTAGTTCAGCATCTACAACAGAGCATCAAAACTCATCATCATCTTACTCTTCAATTTTCAGTGTGACATAAGTACTGTTATTTCATCTGGGGCACTGGATTCTGATAGTTTTCATTGCTTCCCTCGGTTAATCCAGCAAATGTTAGGATAGTACCTTTATAAGATCATGGCTGTTTCCTTCCCTATTTTTCTTGTTTTGTTAGCTTGGTTTGACTGATTTCTACTTTTCCTTTCCAACTCATTCTTCACCAACTGTCACACCATTCAATGATATATTTTGAGATAAATACATCAGAAGAGAAGATGACATTTGACACTTAACACTTATATTAACCAAAAAGTCTGCATAATGAAGAGTTAAGCATCAGCATGTAACCAAGCCAGCAGTCAACAGCTTTTGTAAACAATGATGAAACCCAAGTTAAGATTTTTTTATACGGGCATTTAACCTTTATCGGATGGGCAATTTAATTTCCGGTAGGGGCAGCTGGACGGAGTTTATTTAAATGCCCCCCCTTCTAGGG